GGGGGGGGGTCACTCACACACTCCTCCTTCTGTAGTACAGCCCCCTCCCGCTCAGGAAGCCAACCCTGCCCAAGAGGAGGAGCTGCCCCCTCCCCAACTCCCCATGGGAAAGAAAGGTGAGTGCTTGCCCATCCCCCTCCTCCCCCTGCCACTACAATCGTGCTGCCATCAGTCTGACCCTTGCTTCTTTGTGCCCTCACTCCTGTCTTGCAGTGGAGTCCCCTCTCCCTCAGGAAGCCATCCCCCTCCAAGAAGAGCTGCCCCCTCACCAGGCCCCTGTTGAACAGAAGGAAAGTAAGTGACTCCCTCTCCTCTTCACCCTCCCCACTGATGCGCGTGGGCTTTGGGGGCTCTGCCACTCACTCGCTGTATAACCTTGGGTAAGTTATCTCCCCAAGCCTTAGTTTCCTCATCTGGGAAAATGGGGAAACAAGACCTCTTTTATAAAGTTATGAGATTAAGTGGCATAAAAGGCGCATTTTGTTTTCTCTTGTGTCTGTACTGACTTCCTCTTTATGAGTGGCAACTGGCCACGTCCCCCTCTTCTAGTCCATCCCAACATGGCTTCTGTTTACACATCTGCTTCCACCCTAGTAGACCCACCTTTCCCACATCAGGAGGAAATGACCTTCCCATCTAAGCAGAGAGAGGGTGAGTGACAGCTCTGGTCTGTCCATGCCCCTGATTTAGTGCTCAGGGCCCTGGGGTGGGAAGCCTGAAGCTTGGGAGGCAGCACAGGGGAGCAGGTCTGACTTGTGGGGACCGTAAGAGTGACACGACACCTTTCATGCCCCACTTCTCTTCCCTTTCCATCAGCCATTCTGAAGGTAAAAGCCACAAGTTTATGTCTGTCTCTTTCCCCCTGTATCCTCCCAACCCTTTCTCCTCAACCCCAAGTTCTTTCAGTCTTTCAACCCCAGTCTTTCAGTTCTTTCTCTATTCCTCTACTCGTTCTCCTTCCCTGTTTTCCCCATTCTAGAAAAGCCTTTAATGGAACATAGCCCCCCAGAGCCTGAGTCTTGGAATCCAGCCCTGCACTGCCAACAGGGCCGGTCCCCAGGGGGCTGGGGCCACCGGCTGGACGGCTTCCCCCCTGGGCGACCTTCTCCAGACAATCTGGACCAGATCTGCCTTCCTACTCGCCAGCATGTGATATACGGCCCTTGGAACCTACCACATTCTGGCTACTCCCACCTTACTCGCCAGGGTGAGACCCTCAATTTAGTGGAGACTGGATACTCCCGCTGCTGCCGCTGTCACAGCCATGCACACCGCTTGGACTGTGCAAAACTTGTGGTAGGTGTTGGGCTCTTGGTGCTGGGACTTATCCTTTAACCTCCAGACAGTGTGTGTGTATGTGTGTGTGTGTGAAGGACTAGAGGCCTCGGCCTTGGCACGTAGGAACCCCAGGTCCCTTTTGTTGGCCCTACCATGGGCCTCCTTAGTGTGCTGGAAGGGCAGAGAACAGCCTCTGCTTCTTTCTTATCTACCTGCCCAGGGTCCTTTTCTGGAGCCTGGGAGGAGGACAGGAATGTGGACAATGGGCTGCTGGGCTGATCCTTCCCTCTTGCTCTAGTGGGAGAACGCAATGATCCGATTCTGTGAGGCTGAGTTCTCGGTCAAGACCCGACCCCACTGGTGCTGCAACCGGCAGGGGGAGGCTCGGTTCTCCTGCTTCCAGGAGGAAGCTCCCCGGCCGCACTACCAGCTCCGGGCCTGCCCCAGCCACCAGCCTGGTATTTCCTCGGGCCCCGAGATGCCTTTCCCCCCTGGTGTACCCACTCTGGACAACATCAAGAACATCTGCCACCTAAGACGCTTCCGTTCTGTGCCACGCAACCTCCCAGCTACTGACCCCATCCAAAGACAGCTGCAGGCATTGATCCGGCTAGAGGGGGAGTTCCAGCGCTGCTGCCGGCAGGGGAACAACCACACCTGTATGTGGAAGGCTGTAAGTGGGCGTCCCAGCCCCCCAAGAGCCTGTCTGCCTGCCCACCCATCTCCGACCTCTGATCCTGCCGGTCCATCCATCCGTGTACCTCCCCACTGTGAGCTCGTCTGCCCGTTCATCTGCTTGCAAGTGTCCATCCATCCACTGTCTTCGTCATCTGCGTCTGTTCATCCTAAGCCTTCATCCTGCACTCCTGGCCTCGTCCACCCGCGATCCCACACATGCACCCGTGTGCCATCCATCCGTCCAGCTCTGGCCTCACCTGACCCCCTCGTCTACCACTCCAGCTCATCTCCCGTGGCCCGTGCCAAGCCTCATTTGTGCTTCCATCCCTTCCTCCTTCCCAACACCATACATCCATGCCCTCTGGTTCTTTGTCCTTCCCTTTCGGCACCTGTGGCCGGGAGTCCCTCATCTCATAGTGTAGGGCAGTAGAGGGTCAGAAGAGAAGGGGCTGAGTGTCCAGACTTCTGACTTCCCTCTCTCTGGCCCACAGTGGGAGGATGCCCTTGATGGATACTGTTATCGGGAACAGTCTGTAAAGACCCACCACCACTCGTGTTGCCACTATCCTCCTAGCCCTGCCCGTGATGAGTGCTTTGCCCGTCGGGCTCCCTACCCCAACTATGACCGAGACATCTTGACCCTTGACCTCAGCCGAGTTACCCCCAACCTCATGGGCCATCTCTGTGGAAACGGAAGAGTTCTCACCAAGCAGTGAGTCTTGCCCGGTTCTTCCCTCTCTTCCCTTCCCCCAAACCTTCCTTCTGGGGCATCCTCTGGGAGCACTCTTGGTAAGAGCAAAACCATGGTCTCCAAGCACCATTTTGGTGCCTAGGGATGCATAAAGACCCTGACCCTTGCCTCTTTCCCACCAACATAGTAAACAGATTCCTGGGCTAATCCGGAACATGACTGCCCACTGCTGTGACCTGCCATTTCCAGAACAGGCCTGCTGTGCTGAAGAGGAGGTGAGTGAGGGCAGCAGGGGGGTCATAGTCTCCAAAGGAAAGCAGGGGAGGGGAGACAGAGGGCTAGCACTGCAGGCCACCCCTTCTCTTTAGTACCTCACACCCCCTGCCCACAGAAATAGAGGACTAGTGGGGAAGATCTTTTTCTTGGTTCCAGAAGTCTTCATTCTTTTTTTTTTTTTTAATGTTCATTTATGGTTGAGAGAGAGAGAGAATGAGCAGGGGAGGGGCAGAGAGTGAGGGAGACACAGAATCTGAAGCAGGCCAGGCTCTGAACTGTTAGCACAGAGCCTGAAGGTGGGGCTTGAACTCACCAGCTATCAGCCCAGAGCCTGACGTGGGACTCGAACTCATGAACCGTGAGATCATGACCTGAGCTGAAGTTGGACGCTTAACCCACTGAGCCACCTAGACACCCCCCAGAAGTCTTCATTCTGACCTGATCTGCTCCCTACCTCTAAGTTCTTATTATGCCTTCTCTGGGACCCAAGCTTTAGGCATTTCCAGATGTGCACATATGTCTGTCACAAGGAATCTAGGTATGCAAGGCAGCCTTGCACCCTCTCTGGCCCCAGGAAGGGATCCAGGGAGACAAGCCGAGAGCAAGGGGACTTTGAACACCCAAGTATTGATGCTTGACCTCCATCCAACACCTCCTTCCCCATCATCTCTGCTTTACTTTTCTCCTTCATCAGAAATCAGCCTTCATTGAGGACCTGTGTGGCCCCCGACGTAACTTCTGGCGAGACTCTGCTTTCTGCTGTAACCTGAGTCCTGGAGATGACCAGACCAACTGCTTCAACACTTACTATCTGAGGAATGTGGCTCTAGTGGCTGGAGACACTGGGGATGCCAAGGGCCAGGGGGAGCAAGGCCAACGCCGGGAAGAAATATCAGCCCCACCCCCTGAGCCCAAGGAAGAGTGAGTCACCCAGAGCCTCAGAGGATCAGATTGGGGGAACCCCACCCTCCTTGAACATTCATTACAGTAAACACCTCTTGGATTTGCCATCCTCATTGTCTTTAATGTCTCACATACAAACACACCCTTCTAAGCCTGGTAGGATTTTCTTCAGTGACTGGCCCCAGAGGCCCACTGTCCTCTGAGCAGAACCATTCCACAGGCTATGATGGTACCATAACTCAACAGCTTAACTTCACTATTTGTCATCTTGAATTTATTAACATATTTGAACAACAGTGTCACCTTGTTAGCTAGCTATCATCATTTAAAGGCAAAAGATATGGTTTCATGTCTTGGGTAAGCCCCCAAAGTGCCATAACCCAGCCCTACATTTTAAAATCTTCACTCTTGGAGTCCATACTTTGATTCATTCCATATCCATTTACTGAACGCCTACCGATGTACACTATGCTAGACGTGGGGGATACACATCCAGAAAACACTGCCCCTTCCATCAAGTTGCTCATAACCCAAGAGCCTAACAGGTGTGTTAAGTTGTGTTGCAGGGGGCTGCCAGATAGCCTGGTCCGAGGTGGGAGTAGGTTTGAGGGCTGTATGTATATACTGGGGAAAGCCTCTGTGCGGGGGAGGTCGGAGTAGTAGTATAAGGTGCAGGGGGCAGGTAAGTCTCAGGCAGGACAGCTCAGGCAGAGAAGCACTAAGGCTGAGAGGGCCTGAGGCTTTGGTGGTCTCCCTTCCAGATGTGGCTGGAATGATAAGCAGGAGGTCATCACAAATGTCTCCTCCGCAAGGGTTTAAAAGTGCATCTTGGCACCTCTGCCCACGAGGGCACTGGCGGTTTCAAGCAGGGTTCAGATCTGCCTTTTGCAGCGTCTGGTAGGCAGCCAGCCTGGCAGGAACCCGGAAGTCCAGTTAGGAGAGTATCATGCCCACGCCTGAGGGGAGGGGCAGGACTCTTCAGGCCTCGGAGGCTGCCCCCAAGAAACAGGAGCTGGAAGAATCAGAAAGAAGACTCGTGTCTCGTGGGGACAAGTCTCCAGAAAGCGGGACTTCCCTGGTCCCAGTTATGACTGTGGGGGTGAGGCAAGGACCGCCGTCCTGCCCCAACTAGGAACAAGCTGAACCCCAGCAGCTCCCAAACAGACACCTGCCTCTCGGTTCTCCCCAGCCTCTTATTTATTTACGTTGCCGGATGGCTGTTTCTAACGAAGCAGCGTCTTGGCAGCTCCCTCGCCTGTCCTTCAGCACCACGCTCAACCAGCGAGAGAGGTCCGCGCCTCGTCCCACTCCTGCGCGGGCAACTGGGGCCTAGGGCTTGGGTCACGTGTTCAAAGAACGTCTCCGCGCCTGCGCGAGCGGCCGGCGGATGTCCAGAGATCCTCCCGAAAGCCGCTGGGACCCGGGGCCTGAGCCAGGCAAGGCCGGGCCCAGTCCTCCGATCACCCCGTCCGCGCGTGGCTCCGCCTAGGTTGGGATCAGGAAGGGGGCGGGTCCGCCGGCAGGGACGTCTCCAAAGGGCTGTGTCCCTTCGTGAGCTTCCCGGAGGTGCTTTACGGCTGCGTTTGCAAAGCGCAGCGCCAAGTACTGGAGGGCGAGTCAGAAAGGTAGGATCGCCCTCCCCACCCCTACAAGGTTACAGTCTACAGCGTGGACAGGGAGGGAACCGGGAACGCGATAGTAAGCCGCGGTAATGAAAGACCATCAGGCGCTAAATAGATTGCAGGCTTCGTGAGCTGAGAGTTAAAAGAAGTAATTCTCTCTGGGGATCAGGGTAGGTGGTTGTGGATTGAGCTCAGAAGCATGGATAGGATTGATGTTAGTTACCAAGAAAAAGGGAAAGTGTTCACATTTACGGCACTTAGTTATATAGATAAACTATTAAAGTATAATTTGTTAAGCTCAGGGCAGTGGATAAAGGAGCCAGAGCCCCTAACTACGTGTTGGCGCCGTTGAAGGCTTCAAGAAGGAATTCAAGCTTGGGTAGGATTTTGCAGGAAGAGAAGGGGAGAGTGTACAAAGCACTGGATGTATGCAGAGTTCCGCTGAAGTAAACAGAGTGTCCGTTTTGTGTCAGGTAGAGTATTCTTAGGTGGTGAGACTAAGTATTCTGGCCATAAAGAAGACCAAAGCACTGCCCTCAAGGATTTTTATCTCTATGGAGACTTGAATATTTAATGATTAGATGTATTCTCGGGATTCTCTGGGAGTCTCCTAGCTTTCAGGGAGGTCTTCGCGGAGGCAGCAATAAAGCAGAAAGTGTGATTGGTATATTTGAAGAGCCAGTAAGTAGTAAAAATGATGTGGGTGGGTAACTGGGCAGGGAGGTTGTAAATTTAAGGGTAGTCATACTTTCTGGCAGATCTTGAAGGACTATGGAAGTCATGCCAATCTGGGTATAAGCAACTGTAAAATACTGCAAAAGAAAAGTGATGTGAACAGACTTTTTAAAAAGATAAATTAGATGGACAGATGAATAGATAAGCTGGAGAAAGGATAGCGATGGGGACCAGTTCAGAGGTTGAAATTGTAGCTCATTAATATCAGTCAAATGAGAAATTTTGAGATCCAGAGCTTTAATGGTACAGGGAGAGGACATCTGTTAGAGATATTTAAAAGATGAGAGTGAAAGAACCTGCCTGCTACCAGAGATACCCTAAATTTGAGATTTGGGTAACTGTAAGGTAAGATGTACAGGAGGAGGAGGAGCAGGGTTTCCAGGAGGAGGACGATGAGTTCAGTTTTGGGGTCTTCAGTGGTTGGTGTCGTTAGTGAAAGAATCTTTAGAAGGTAGATGTTAGGGGCACCTGGGTGGCTCAGTCGGTTGAGCATCAGACTCTTGATTTCTGCTCAGGTCATGATCTCACTATCGTGAGATCGAGCCCTGAGTCAGGCTCTGCATGGAGCCTGCTTGAGATTCTCTTTCTCTCGCCCTCTGCCCTTCCCATGCGCATGCGTGCACAACTCTGTCTCTCTAAAATGACTGATTGACTGACTGACTGAATGAATGAATGAATGAATAAATAAATAAATAAATAAATATGTAAATAAATAACATTTTTAAAAAGAAGGAAGATATTAAAAGCTGCATTCTAGAGGCACCTGGCTGGGTCAGTCAGAAGAGCCTGTGACTCTTGATCTCTCGGTTGTGAGTTCAAGTCCCACATTGGGTGTAGAGATTATAAATAAGTAAGCAACCTTTTTTTTTTTTTACAAGGCCTAATTCTAGGGAATTGAGTATGAATGGGAGGTGAAGAGGGGGAGGCAGCATGTGCAGCCTGCTTTTTGAATGTGCTTCTGTCCTCTAGACCAGTAGCCTACAAGACATGACACTTGGAAGTCTCTTAGATCCCACACATTCAGCTTATTCAATGTGGGAAGATATAAAAAAGAAAATGTAGCAGTAAGTGTGTTGTAGAACCTATATGGTAGCTATATGGGTGTTCACTATACAGTCTGTCAACTTTTCTGCAGTTTTGAAGTTTTTCATAAAATATTGGGAAAGATAAGCGACCATCTCTACCCTCCAACTCTTCCTACCCCAGTGGGCCCCATCTCAGTAAATAGAACCACCATCTATTCAGTTGTTTAGGCAAGAGACCTGGGAATCACTTTCCTTCTCCCTTCTATTCCAGGCAGTCACCAAATCTCCTAAATAGCTCTTAAATCTGTCAACAGTGCGGGTGCCTGGGTGGCTCAGTCGGTTAAGCTTCTGACTTCAGCTCAGGTCATGGTCTTGCAGTCTGTGAGTTCGAGCCCTGCATAGGGCCCTGTGCTGACAGTTCAGAGCCTGGAGCCTGCTTCAGATTCTGTGTCTCCCTCTCTCTCTGCCCCTTCCCTGCTCATGCTCTGTCTGTCTCAAAAATGAATAAATGTTGGGGCGCCTGGGTGGCTCAGTCGGTTAAGCGTCCGACTTCAGCTCAGGTCATGATCTCGCGGTCCGTGAGTTCGAGCCCCGCGTCGGGCTCTGGGCTGATGGCCCAGAGCCTGGAGCCTGCTTCCGATTCTGTGTCTCCCTCTCTCTCTGCCCCTCCCCCGTTCATGCTCTGTTTCTCTCTCTCTGTCTCAAAAATAAATAAACGTTAAAAAAAAAAATAAAAAAAAAATGAATAAATGTTAAGAAAAAAAAAAAAGTTTAAATCCATCAACAATGGAGTTGTACCTTATACCAAATTTAGGTTCTAAAAGCAGTACATAAGGCAAAAGTTACATAGTGAAAATAACCTTTGGAAATCCCTTAAATCATTCAGAAGATACAGTGGCCATATTCTTATGTGCACAACTCTGTACACAAAATGTATATATAAGTATACATGTACATAGTAAGGTACAGTATGTGATAAGGGTATATAATATAACATTAAGGTATTTTTAACTTCATAAAAAAAGGGAGATTGGGGCACTTTGGTAGCTCACTTGGTTGAGCACCGACTTTGGCCTAGGTCATGAGCTCAGTTTTGAGCCCCACCGCGGATTCTGTGCTGACAGCTCAGAGCCTAGAGCCTGGAGCCCGCTTCAGATTCTGTCCCCCCACCTCTCTCTGCCCCTCCCCCTCTCATGCTTTGTCTCTGTCTCTCAAAAATAAAATGTATAAAAAATTATTTTAAAAGTCCCCTTTTATTCCTACTTTGCTAAGAGTTTTGTTTTGGTTTGTTTTTAAAAATTGTTAAAGTAATTTCTAGCCCCAATATGGGGCTCGAACTCAACCCTGAGATCAAGAGTTGGACACTCTACCAACTGAGCCAGCCAGGCACACTCACTAAGAGTTTTGTATCATAAATATATGTCAAATTGTATTAAATATTTTCCCTGCAGCTATGGGGAGGATGCATGATTTTTCTTGTTTGGTTTGTTAATATGGTAAATTCATTAATTGATTTTTTTTAAGTTAAACTTAGCTTGTATTACTAAAATAATAATAAACACAACTTGGACATGATGTGTCATTCGTTTTTATATATTGCTGGATTCAACTTCCTACTGTATGTTTTAGAATTTTTGTATCATTTTCCATGAATGGGATTTACCTGTGTTTATCTTCCTCATACTGCCTTTATCAGTTTTTAGTAACAAGATGACATATTTCGTGGTTTTTATGAGGTGGTTGGTTAGATGCAGCCACAGAAGAGACAGAACGGGGGTAGGGGGGATCTCACAGGTCCTAGAAACAGGAGACACAAAGCCATTTTTGTAGATTAAAAAAAAAACAAACAAAAAAACCCAAAACTTTCACATTGGAAAGACACCAAAGTCAGGAGGCAGAAGGGATGTGAGAAGGTTTAGGCTACAGACTTTATTGGGGTTTCTGGGGAAAAGGAAGGCAGGGAAGGGTTTAGAACTGACTAGTTGGAATAATTTTGGCCAGCTTTGGATTAAAGGGCTGGTCCCTAGCTGCCTGGCACCTAGCCCTGGGATGATTAAGGCAGAGGAGTATTGCCTCCTGGAGTGAAAAGGGCAGGACAGAGGAGGGACAGCTCTGGATGATGCTCTCAGCTGGGCCATCTCTTAAGAATTGTCTCTCAGGGCGCCTGGGTGGTCAGTGGGTTAAGCATCTGACTCTTGATTTCAGCTCAGGTCACGGTCGGACTCTGTGCTGACAGCATAGGGCCTCCTTGGGATTCTCTGTCTCCCTCTCTTTCTGGCTCTCCCCTGCTCACGCTCTCTCTTTCAAAAATAAACATTAAAGAGAAGAAGAAGAATTGTCTCTCCCAAGCCGGAAAAAATTCTTCTAGAATGTCAAAACATAGTAATATATAGAAAGTTATACGTTATTTAAACTGGTGCATTATCTAGTTGAATCCATGGAACAGGTGAGCTCAGGGTCCTCCTATTCCATCTTCCCTTTCTTCAAAAGTTTTAAAAATATATTTTATATTTTATACAAAAATTAATATTAATTTTTTATAAATATTAAATGTAAAAACATATTTACAATATATTGTATTAGGCTCAAAATAAGTTGGCGAAAGTAATTACTACTTTTCTCTGAAAGGGTTTGCACAATACCGACCTCATTGTCTTCTGTAAATATTTGATAGTTTGATAGAAGTTGCTGAGGAAGCCATGTGGGATGGGGAAAATTTTAAAATGGTGTGTAAATTCATTTAAGTTACAGGTCTTTTCAGAATTCCTATTTTTTCCTTGGGTATTTTATGAACTGTCTTTTTCCCCCTCGGGGATGTATCCATTCCATAAAAATTTTCCAGTGCTTTAGTGTCAAGTTCCTAATATCCTCTTGGTTTCTTCTGAAGGTCTGCAGGGACTATAGTAATGCCCTGTTTTTCATTTTCATTCCTTACAGGGTTCATTTGTGTCTTCTCTCTCTCTCTCTCTTTCTCTCTCTCTCCCTTTGTTTTCTTTTTCATTTGACCAAAGGTTGATCAGTTTCATTAGTCTTCTCATAGTACCAGCTTATTTTATTTTTATTCTATTGTGTGTAATGTATGCTTTCAATTATCTTTATTATTCCCTTATTTCTAATTTCATCAAGTTTAACTTGCTGGTTTTTCTACTTTTTGATGCATCTAAGTTCATTAATTTTCAAATTTTCTTCTTTTCTGATTTAACTATGTAAGGCTATAAATTTCCATCAATAGCTTGTAACCCA